GGTCCTCCTGCTCCGCCTCATCCTCCTCTTCATCAGCATCATCCTTGCCGTCGCCGTCCTCGTCATCATCAGCATCAGCATCATCATCAGCATCCTCATGATCGTCAGCATCATCAGCATCGTCATCATCTGCAGCATCATCAGCGGCATAATAGTCTTCGTCATCAGCATCATCAGCAGCATCGGCCGCATCATCATCATCATCATCGTCAGCAGCAGCATCAGCATCACCGTCATCAACAGCATCAGCATCAGCATCATCATCATCAGCCGCATCATCATAAGGATCATCATCAGTATCTTCATCCTCCTCATCATTATCATCCTTATCCTCATCGTCGTCATAAGCCACAGCATCAGCGTCATCATCAGCCTCATAATCGTCGTCATCAGCAGCAGCAACATCAGCATCAAAATCATCAGTCGCATCAATATCAGCATCATCACCATCAGCATCATGCTCGTCGTCATCATCACCGTGATCCACACGGACCTCATCATCATCACCGCCAAACCCGACATTCTCAGCATCACCTCCAGAATCATCATAAGCGTCAGCATCATGACCATGATCCTCATTAGCATCATCAGCAGCAGCATCATCAGCATCATCATCAGCATCATCATGATCAGCATCATCAGCATCATCGGCAGCAGGATCAGCATAATCTTTCGCCTATGCATCGCCATCACCAGCAGCATCATCATCATCATCATCGTCATCAGTGGCGTCATCATCATCCTCATCAGCGTCATCCTCATCGTCGTCATCAACAGCAGCATCATCAGCATCGTCATCATCATCATCACCATAATCATCGTCATCATCACCACCATAATCATCATCATAAGCATCATCATCACCATCATCATCGTCATCATCGTCAACGTCATCATCGTCATCCTCATCGTCATCAGCATCATCATCACCAGCATAATCATCATCGTCAGTATCATCACAGTCAACATCGCCATCGTAATTCTCAACATTGCCATTGTATGCTTCAAGATCAAAACCGTTATCATCACCAGATCCATCATCATGGTCATCGTCATCGTCATCATCGTCATCAACATCAGCAGCGTCATCAGTATCATCAGCAGTATCGTCATCATCATCATGATCAGCGTCATCGTCATCACCATCACCATCATCATCAGCATCGTCGTCATCGTCAGAGTCAGCATCATCATCGTCATCAGTGTCATTAGTATCGTCACTACACTCACTGAACACATCAGTAACACCAACATCGTCAGCATCATCAACATCATCACCAACACCGTCATCAGTATCATCATCACCACCAGCATCATAATCATCATCGTCATCATCATCACCATCATCATCATCGTCATCACCATCACCCTCATCGGCATCATCATAATCATTATTCATCATCATAATCATCATCATCATCATCATCATCATCATCATCATCATCATCATCATCATCATAATCATCATCATCATCATAATCATCATCATCATCATCATCAGCATCATCATCATCATCATCATTAAACCCAGTTGGGTCAGTGTAGCACCGCTCCTGCGCCCCATGTAAGTCAGCACCCGAACATCGTCATCATCATCATCATCATCATCGGCAGCAGCAGCAGCAGCAGCAGCAGTATCCTCCGCATCCTCATCATCAACATCTAACACAACCATGTTCCACCACCTCAGCACCGCCTTCCCCTCCGATTTCATCTCCGAGTTTTCTGCCCCATGTTCCTCCTGTCTTCCGCCTCATCCTCCTCGTGATCCTCCGCCAAATCCTCTGCCCGCACCTCCCTTCTTACTCCCCATCCCCCCTTTCTCATTCGACGAGCTAGTTTTATGTCTTGCACTTTACTCCTCCAGCTCCTCCTCATCCTCCTCCTCCTCCTCCTCCTCCTCCTCCTCCTCCTCCTCCTCCCCCTCCTCCTCCTCCTCCTACCCCTCCTCCCCCTCCTCCTCCTCCTCCTCCTCCTCCTCCTCCTCCTCCTCCTCCTCCTCCTCCTCCTCCTCCTCCTCCTCCTCCTCCTCCTCGTCTTCTTCCTCCCGTCAGCATCCTCCTCCTCTCCTCCTGCTGCTGCTTGTGCTCCTCCATCTCCTCCTCCTCCTCCTCCTCCTCCTCCTCCTCCTCCTCCTCATCATCATCATCATCATCATAATCATCGTCATCATCATCATCATCATCATCATCATCATCATCATCATCATCATCATCATCATCATCATCATCATCATCATCATCATCATCATCATCATCATCATCATCATCATCATCATCATCATCATCATCATCATCATCATCATCATCATCATCATCATCATCATCATCATTATCATTTTCTTCCTCCTCCTCCTCCTCCCCCCTCCCCCTCCCTCCCTCCCTCCCTCCCTCCCTCCCTCCCTCCCTCCCTCCCTCCGCTCGACATCCTCAGTCTCCTCCTCCTCCTCTTCCTCCTCCTTCTCCTCCTCATCATCATCATCCTTCTCCTCCTCGACTCGACTCGACTCGGCTCGGGTCCGCTCTTCTCGGGGCCGCGGCCGACTCGGCAGAGAGGGCAGAGACCCCCGCGCGTACCTCGAGCATCCTCAGCGTGTGCCCCGTCGGCGCGGTGTCGAAGACGACCACGTCGTACCCCTCCGTGTCCGCCGCGGCCTGCGGACACCCCGCCGGAGGCCACGCGACAGCCACGCCGCTACGCTTGCCCTTCCCGCCCGCCTGCCCGCCAACTCGCCTTACCAGGATCAGACGCGCATCGGATCCGGCTGCCCGGAACAGAGCCAGCCGCGCCAAGATGCACCACAGCGATGCGCGAACATCGGGTCGCGTGAGATCGTCGGAGTGTCGGAACCGAGCGGGGTCGAGCGGGATCGAGCCCACCAGAATAGATATCGAATCGGATGGAGCAAGCTCGAGCTGGCCAGAAGCGATAGCGGATCGATCGGATCGAAAGGGGCCCTGCTGGGCGATTAACACCCACAGCCTCGTCCTCAGTATCCCGAGGGGGGGGCAGCAGGCGGAAAAAGAGGAGGAGGAGGACGACGAGGGGAAGGAGGAGGAGGGGGAGGGGGGGGGGGGGGGCGGGTGAGTGGGGGAAGGGGAGGCGCCAGCGTTCTGCGAGGGCGGAATGGCTGGAGCAGAGGGAGAGAGCGGCGATTCGCCTCGCTTGCGCCTGCTCCTCTGGCAGGCGAAGACAACCGACTTCCAAGTCCACCGGGCACCCCACCCCCTCCTCCTCCTGCTCCTCCTCCTCCTCGTCCTCCTCCTCCTCCTCATCCTCTCCTCCTCTCTCCTCCTCCTCCTCCTCCTCCTCCTCCTCCTCTCCCCCCTCCTGCTCCTGCTCCCCCTCCTCCCCCTCCTCCCCCTCATCCTCATCCTCCTCCTCCGCCTCCTCCTCCTCTTCATCCTCATCCTCCTCCTCCTCCTCCTCCTCCTCCACCTCCTCCTCCTCCCCCTCCTCTTCCTCCTCCTCGTCCTCCTCCTCTTTCTTCTCTTCTCATCTCTTATTGTTCTCTCTACCTCTCTCTCATTTTCTCTCTCTATCTATATATGTGCGTCTCTATTGTATTGTATCTCTCTCTCTCGCATTCTCGGCATGAGGGTCATCCTGACGCCGCCATATCCCCTCTTCACGGGGGGGGTGATCAAACGAATGCGCCAAGCGACTCCAAGTGCGACCGCCCCTGGAGTCGCCGGCTGTGGGGAGGAAAATCACGGTAAGACAGATGCAAAACCTGGAGGCTCATAATATGCATAGGAGGGGGAAGGGACATGAACTAGGAATGCGAATGCGCGGCTGCTGGCACACTGTAGCGGGGCTTGAGGCACACAAGCTGGCGAGCGGCGGCTGTTGCTGAGCAGTGCGGCGCGAGGCCCCGTGGTTGAGTGCGGGCAAATGCCACTCTCGCCCAAATGGGATGGCGCAAGGGCCTCGCCCTTGCCGTGAGGAACCCCCCCAGTCCCGTCCGCCACCATCCAAGGGGCCCGCGCACGCCGAGGCGGGCGATGGGTTCCCAGGGAGGGAGTGGCGCGGACGGGTGGAGGTTCCCCCAGGCGCCAGGGAATTCGCGCCATCCTGCCGCGGTGGCCACTGGGTTGCGCTTGTTTTCCCCCCACGTACCACCCCTAAGCTCCCCCCCAGCAGATACGGCATTGCGCGGGAGTGGCAGAGCCGTGCGTTGAGGTCCGCCTGCAGTCGGCACCAGCTGAGGTACTGGAGTGGGGCTGCGCGGGGAGTGCGGCAGGCGGTGACACTCGCCAAGGTGAGAAGGCGCAATGGCCTCTTCCACCGCCCGCAAAGGAACCCGACGATGTGGCCCCCAGTTTGAGCCCCTGTACCCTCACCCACCGAAGCGAGCGACGAGCGCCAAGGGCCGAGCTGGGGGCCCCTCGGGGTTCCCCAGCGGATGACGGGAGGTTTGCGCCTTCTAATAGCGGCGGCCGCGCTCAGTGAGCCTCTTCCCCTACCTGATCCACCCCTCCCCGTAGTGAAAGCGGCGTGGGCTGGAGCTGGGAAGCGAGTTGGGGAGTTCAAAATCAAGCTGAGGAACAGGTGATTGCCACGCGCGCAGCAATGATGGTGTGGGCTGCGGTGCTAGAGCCCTGTTACTTGCCGTGGCTGCCCTGGCCTTCGCCAAATCAGTCGGCGGTAGCTGTTCCCTTCCGTGCCCACTACCGCCCGTCCGTCCCTCCGCCACAGGAGTGTGGGTAGGTAAAGTTTCGTGGGGTGAACAATGGGGTGGGCCTGCTGACGAGACGGTGGAGCCAGGAGGGAGTGAAAGTTGGTGGAGGTTATCTCACCGGTGGCGGTTATCATAGCATGCGTGGGTGAGAAAGCCACAATGGTGGACTCACTGCGTAGCATAGCGTTCCGATGAGGTCGGCACCGTGGTGCAGAACATGATGTGGGCGCCGTCGTATGTGCTAGTGAGACAGGTAGGAGTGGTGCCTTCGCCATGAGAATAGCAGTTGGAGACTGCGATGGATGCCCAGCGGTTGCTGCTGCTGCACTGCTGGAGTAGGCACAGTGAGTGTGGCAGTGTGGTCCAAGACCAATAGTGCCGAGTCGGAGATGGGAAGGAAACAGCTGGCGGTGTCCATCTTCGTCGCAAGAGAACTCGCTCGTCAACTGCCGTTGAAGCAAAGTTGGTCAACGGATGGAACGAATGACGCACAGACGGGCCTCCGCTCAGCATGTCCCGTCTTGGCATGAGGGTGGTGTACGCCTCGTCTGCCTTTGTTGTCAGAGGTCAAGGGGGCGCGCCAGACTTCTGAGAAGAGTGGATGGATGGGTCCTCCTCCTTGTTTTCCTCCTCGTCCCCCTCCTCATCTTCCTCCTCCTCCTTCTCCTCCTCCTCATCCTCCTCCTTCTCCTCCTCCCCTTCCTATTCCCTCCTCATGATCCTCATTGTGTCTTTAGCACACACATGCAAGACGGGATCGCCTACTTACATATCCTTCCTTCCTCTCCGCAGACCAAGACCCACGTTCAAGTCAGCATGTTCGTGATGATGCCAGGTCGGCATCCAGTATCCAAAATGTTTGAGTCACCATCGAACGCAGATGACGGTATCCCCTGAAGTTGCCAGACTTGTCCAAAACTGCGCTGCTCCCGTCGAGAAAGGATGTCAGCACGGCCACGCCAGCGGCGTTGCATCGGTCACCTCCCTGGGCGCCGTCCACGCAAAGCCTGTCATGTTCAAGCGTTTGTGACAAAGTGTGTGCCCAGAAATCTGCCAATCCGGTCCAGGATCGGGGATGAGATTTGCCGCAAGATCGGCGAACACGGAGGCGCGGAGAACGCCCCGTACACACAGAACTCAAATGTGGGACTGACGCCATGTGCCTTCTGTTGGAACCTTTGCCCAAAGAAGCCCTCTACCCAAACGATGACAGGGCGACCGTACGTCCTTGTCGAAACTGTGATTACGGCATTGAATTTGGCCGCCATCCCGCAGTCTGTTTGCACCCACACTGGACTGGGCGATCGCTGCCATTGAGATACTATCGGAATTACTGGCAAGGGAAGGAGCAACGAGGAAGCAGGAAAGAGAACGGAGGAGGAATGAGGAAGGAGGATGGGCGAGGAACCAAGGACGAATGAGGCATAAGGAAGCAGGAGGGGCAGGAGGAAGTAGGAAGGGACTCTGTGGAATTATGTATACATAACACGCAGGTGACTTCTCACATCACGCCCCACACCTGCCAACGGCACGGGCGGACAAGCACAACGTTGAGGGGCTCCCCAACGGGAAGGCAGGCTTGCGATGTCGAAAGACGCAAACCACCCCCCGTCACGTCACTTCTGCAGGCTAGTGACACGGGGATGGACTGCTTGCAACCTCAAGCCTGGCCAAGTCCGTCGTCATGGTCTTCGCCGCGAAGCCTTCAAGGCCGAGCTTTGAGGGCACCACTGACAATCGGCTCGGGCGAGCCAACCCCCCAGGTGCTTGCCTTGTTCACGCTTCTTCTAAAGTAGTATACGGTCAAGAACTTTTGGATAGCGCGTCGCGGCTGCGGCCCCAGCGACACGGCATGCCCTGCGAGAGCGGATAGCGTGTCGCTCTGCTCCGCGGGACGGAAGGGTCGGAAAGGCCGGGCACGTCGACGCTCGGGGACTGGGACGTGGACGGCATGCCGCTCCGAAGCGTGGTGGGCCAGAACCGGCGGCGCGACACGCGAACCCAAAGGTCCTGGCCGTGAAGCCCGAACAAAAGGATGAGGCAGGGCAACCCGAGGAACCCACATGAACATTTTCCGGAACCCGCAGGAATCCACCGACATCCTCAGGAACCCTCAGGAATCCACCCGTACTTCCCCCAGGGGCCCTTGGGAACTCTCCTCCGTCGGGAACCCCCACGAACCCGCAGAAATCCCCAGAAGACCGCAGGAGTCCACCCGAGAATCCCCAGGAATGCACGCGTAATTCCCCAGCGGCCCTGAAGAACTCTCCCAGGAGCCTTCGCCATGGCCGCGATCTCGTCGACGCCGGGCGGCGGAGACTCGAGCACCTCCGGCCGCGGGCGTCTCCAGGCACGCCGCGGGCCCCTCCTCCCCCGCCCTCCCTCCCCCTCCGCCCCTCCCCTTGCCCCATCGCCCTCCCCCTCCTCCCCCTCCATCCTCCAACCCTCCTCCTCCCCTTCCCTTCCTCCCTCACTCCTCCTCCTCGCCCCCCCTCCTCTTCCTCTTCATCCAAAGAGTTTGCCCACACACACATACACATACAGCAGAGCATCCGGACGGACGCGTGGGCAATCAGGGATGCACGCTTGGCAACTTTGCTGCCAAATTGAACGGGGAACCCACCGCTGGGTATGCATGACGCCAGGGGAAAGGGAGAGCGGGAGGATGATGATGATGGGGATACAATCAAAATGTGTCCAACATCCATGGTGTGGAATGTCAACTGTGCACAACGCACAGCAAGAGTAAGAGGAATGCCCATTGTGTAACAAGCCAACATAGGTGATTGTTTCGTTCGCATGTTCCGGCTACATTCACCCGCTATACGCGCCGGATGGTGCCGAACCCAACCCAACACCTCAGCCTTCAACGCAAACTCACACACACACACACACACGCACTTTTCAATCGGCGGTGCAAAGGAGCCTCAGGCGCGGTCGGCAGGTGGAGGTGCCAATTGCGAACGATATTAGTCGAACGCGCAATGGTGGAAGGATCCAGCCACGGCCATGCAGATTGGTGGTGGAAACAGTGAGGCGCTGCAGCGCCAGGATGCAGCGGCCAACCAACCCGCGGAGCGGAAGCTCAACGCAAGGCACTGAAACGCAAACAGCAAGACCCACACGCACATTTCTTGGCGGTCGCGGCCTCGCGCGCGGCGACGGCGCGGAGTTGCACACACATGTGTATGTGCATATATAGTTGCACAGACCTACACACACATACACACATACACAAATACACACATACACACATACACACATACACACATACACACATACACACATACACACATACACACATACCCACATACACACATACACACATACACCCATCCATCCGTACATACATACATACATAGAGGGGAAAAAATCCACCCCGATAATAACCACCCCGACACGCGAAGTCGTTTAATAAACGCACCCAAAGAAGGAACCAAACAGGGCAAAGCTGTTTAGTACACGCCCGCCAAGTGTCCGGTTCGGGTGGTTTTCCTCCCTTGGACGATACATACATACATACATACATACATACATACATACATGCATACATGCATACCTACATACATGGCCGCAGACTTACATACGTACATAGATTCATGCATGCATGCATGCATGCATGCATACACACATGCATGCGTGCATGCATGGAAACAGACATACAGACAAGCGCATGTGCATACACACATACATACGTACATGCATACATGAGTATATGTATATATACACACACGCGTACGTACATGCATACAGACATGCATACATGCATACAACATCATACCGATATGCACGCACGCATGCATGCATGCATGCAGACATGTAGCATGTAGCTATGCATACACACATTCATGCATGCATGCATGCATGCATGTATGGATGCATACATACATACATACATACATACATACATACATGCATACATACATACATACTTACATACATACATACATACTTACATACATGTATACATACATACATACATGCATACATACATACATACATACAAACATACATTACATACATTACATACATACATACATACATACATACATACATACCTACATACATACATACATACATACATACATGCATACATACATACATACATACATACATACATACAAACATACATACATACGTATATACGTACACCAACCTGCCTATACACATAACTACATCCATACGTGTATACAAGCATGTTGTCATATGTGTGTGTACATGTGTATACATCCACCAACATATACATTGGTACATGCATACATACACGCATACATACATACATCCATCCATCCATCGATACATACATGCAGACAGACAGACAGACAGACAGACAGACATACAAACATACAGGCATACAGACATACACACACACATACATACATACATACATACATGCATACATACATACATATATACATTACATACATTACATACATGCATACATACATACATACATACATACATACATACATGCATGCATGCATGCATGCATGCATGCATGCATGCATGCATACATACATACATACATACATACATACATACATACGTACGTACATACGTACACACATACCAACCTGCCTATACACATAACTACATACATACGTGTATACAAGCATGTTGTCATATGTGTGTACATGTGTATACATCCACCAACATATACATTGGTACATGCATACATACACGCATACATACATACATCCATCCATCCATCGATACATACATGCAGACAGACAGACAGACAGAAAGACAGACATACAAACATACAGGCATACAGACATACACACATACAGACATGCATATATATATATACATATACATACATACATACATACATACATACATACATACATACATACATACATACATACACCCATACATGCATACATACACACATGCATACATGCATGCATGCATACATGCATACATATATGCATGCATGCATGCATGCATGCATGCATGCATGCATGCATGCATGCACAGTTGTCGGCTGTTGCGGGCGGGAAGCACTTCTCGCCGTCAAGCGCTCGCGCGGCAAGCACCGCGCGGGCCCAGGGGCCTGGGAGGGAAGGAAAAACAAGAGGGGGCACGGGAGGGCCCCTCACGGGGCAGTGGCCGGGCGGCGCGCCAGGGCAGCGGGGAGGCGCCGGAGAGCGGCGGGCCAGCGGGGCAGGCGCTGGGAGGCCCTGCAGCGGGGGGGCGGGGGCCGCACCAACGCCAGGCGGGCGAGGAGGGGCGAGGCAGCGCCAGGGAGCGCCAGGGCGCCGAGGCGGAGAACAGCATCGAGGCGCCGAGACGGCGGCGGGGAAGGGGCGGCGCCTCGCCAAAGTTGGGCGGGCAGGGGCGGCGCCCGCGAGCAGCGGGGCCAGGGGGGGGGGGGGAGGGCTCGTGGCCAGCCGGCCGGGAGAGGCCGAGCGGCAGGAAGGGCCAGAGAGCGAAAGCCCAGGGGCGGCGGGGCGAGGGCGGAGCAAGGGGGGCCCCGCGCGCGAGTCGGGGCAGGCGCGGCGGGAGGCAAGGCAGCCAGGGGCTGCAAAGAGCCCGGTCGCCAAGACGGGGGCTGGGGAGGCCGAGAGGCCAGAGGACGCGCCAGCGAGGCGATCACCGCTGAGGGTCACCGTGTCACCCGGGAGACCAAGCCAAACCGGAGGAGGGCGGGCACCGCCCGGGGAGGGCAGCGGGCCGCGCGAGGCCAGTCCCCGAGGCGAAGACTGGCAGGGCCGAGTGGCCAGAGAACCGCGGCGGGGCGATCACCGCTGGGGGTCCACCCAGGAGATCGAGCCAAGCCAGGAGAGGGAGAGAGGGCGGGCACCGATGGGGGGAGCCGACGGGGGCCGCGCGAGGGGCGCGGGGCCCCCGAGAGCCAGGCGGGCGCGGGGGTTCGCGCGCCAGCGCCACGAGCGGGCAGGTCCGCGCCCGAGGCAGTCGACGAAGGGCGAGAGGCGACGCGGCGCGGCCGAGCGACCGCGTCCAAAAGGCGGCAGCAGCGCGAAGAGCAGGGCGAGGCCGCTGGGGGGCCACACCAAGCAGCAGGCTGCAGGGCAGTGGCCAAGCAAGAGGAGCCCTGGTGGCCCAGCCCCCGAGCCAGAGCGCGGGGGGGCCGGGGCCGCAGACGGCGCCATGGCCAGAAGCGGGCAGGCCCACACCCGAGGCAGCTAGTGGCCGGAGGGGGGCCCGAAGAGGGGAGCAGACGCGACCGATATCGAGGCGTCGATCGGCGCGCGGGCGCCAGCCATGGCTGGGGCGAGGCAGCTAGCCGAGGGCGGCGGGCGAAGCGAAGGCCCCGCGCCAGCCGTGGACCGAAGGCGGGCAGACCCACGCCCGAGGCAGCTCGGAGGCCGGCGGTGGGAGGGGAAACGCGGGCGCGGGGGCTCACTCACAGGGGTCGGCTGGTAGGCGCTGAGTGGTGCCGTTCGTCGTATAAGCGGCGCGGGGGGCGCCCTCGGCCCTCGATGTCATGGGCTGACGGGGCTAGGGGAGCGGGCCTATGCGCCCCGACGGGAGTAACGACAGCGTTGCACTTGCGCTCCTCATCGTCTGCTCCGTCGCCGTCGGCGGAAGCGAAAGTGTCGCCCGTGGTGCAAAACCAATTGATTCCGCCATAGCTGAACCATCCCGAGCGGCTGTCGCAGGAAAGGACAGGGCGCCGGTCGTGCCCGTTCTCGGGGGCGGCGCGAGGAGAAGCGAAGCCGCTCCAGGTCGCGGCGCCTGCCAGGGGGGCGGCGGTGGCCCGCCAACACGGCCCGCAGCGGGCAGCGGAGGCTACGCCTGGTGTGGGGGCCCTGTCCGTGGGCGAGCTGCGCGCCACGGCGCGACGGCCCGTTCCCGTCTGTCGCGCTGCGCGGGGGGGGGGGGCGGATCCAGGCGGGCGCGCCGATACTCTCGGAGCTTTTTTGATCCGCGGGTCGAGAGCGCACCTCTTCAGATACTCTCGGAGCACGACGCTAGCTGTTTGGCGTTGTGAGCAGCCGCCCAGAGCAGCGCCAGCGGATCGCACAGAAGGCAAAGGGGGGAGGAGGAGGAGGAGGAGGAGGAGGAGGAGGAGGAGGAGGAGGAGGAGGAGAGGAGGAGGAGGAAGGAGGAGGGAGGACGACGACGACGAGGGAGGAGGAGGAAGAGGAGGAGGAGGAGGAGGAGGAGGAGGAGAAGAGGAGGAGGAGGAGAAGGAGGAGGAGGAGGAGGAGAAGGAGGAGGAGGAGGAGAAGGAGGAGGGGGAGGAGGAGAAGGAGGAGGAGGAGGAGAAGCAGGACGACGACGAGGCCCGACCCCAGTCGCAGCTACTGCGGGCCTCGGGAGGCCAGGCGGCTGGGGAGAGGCCGCGCGTCGGGGACGCGCGCGCGGGGAGCCCGCCGCTCCGGCACAGCAGGCGGGCGCAAGGCTGGAGGAGTGGGGACGGGCGGCCCGCTTCCTCCTCGAGAGGCGAGGAGCCGAAGCTCGAGAGCGACGGGGCCCAGGAGACGGCTGCACGATGCCATCGCTGGCCGAGGCGTCGGCGCGCGGCCTAGCACAGGGGGGGCGCGCCCCGAGCTGGCGCGGCGGCGGGCGCTCCCGGATGGACCCTTGCGCAATGGCACCCTGGGCACCCGAGGGTGAAGCGACAGGCCGGGAGAAAAAGGGAGTGCGCGGCGGCAAGCCAGGGGGGCCCTGGAGGCGCGGCGGAGGGAAGGCAAAAGATCGCGTTGGGCCACCAGTCCCTGGGGCCCGTGACAGCGACGCACATGCACTCGATGTCGGCGGCCGGGTCGGAGAGGCAAGAAAGCCGGACCCCGTGCTGAGCTGCCAGCTCGAAACCGCCGCCCCCCAGTCGCCGCCGCGCTGGATGTAGAAAACAAGAGCGTGAGCGGAGGTCGCTGGGCGGAGAGTGGGGCCAGCCGCAGCAGCGGCGGCACAGGCCCCAGCGGCAGCAGTGGCCGCAGGGAGCGGGACACGGCGAGGGCGAGCGGCACCTTTGGAGAGACACGGCCGCCGGGGCAGGCCAGCCGGGCCACGGCAGCGGGGGGGAAGGGCGGCGGAGAGGCGCCTGCTGGCCGACACGGGCCCACGGCGCGCCGGGCCCGCCATGCTGGGGAGCGAGAAAGTGAAGGGGCCCCAGGACACACAAATAAATACACACAAACAAAAAGATTCCCCATACTTTCCTACATTTGGGTTTTTTTTGTCTTCCCCCCCACTTCCCATAGTTTCCCATATTTTCCTGAGCGTGGACGATTCATTGTGTCTGTGTGTTTTTTCCCCTCCTGAGAGGAAGGGGGGGCGCAGGCTCGAGCCGGAGCTGCGGAGGGTGGGGCGGGGGAGAGGCGAGGGCACCCTGCAGCTCGCGCCCCGAGCGCGCGCCCGCCGAGCGCCGGAGGAGGGCTGCCCGGGGGGGGGGCTCCTCGGGAGGCCGGAGGAGGAGATCCACCGCGCTGGCAGGGACACCAGTCGAGGAGGAGGAGGAGGAGGAGGAGGAGGAGGAGGAGGAGGAGGAGGAGGAGGAGGAGGAGGAGGAGGAGGAGTAGAGAGAGGAGGAGGAGGAGGAGGAGGAGGAGGAGGAGGAGGAGGAGGAGGAGGAGGAGGAGGAGGAGATCCACCGCGTTGGCCGGGCTGTTCCTCGTCGGGCACCCGTCGAGAAAGCCCCCGAGGTCATCGGGCCGGTGGGTCGCGGGATGCGCGTCGGGAGGGAAAAAGGCACACCGACCCCGCCAGGCCTCACCCGAACGAGCCGACTGGCCCGCCGCCGCCGAGGGCGCCAGGTAGGAGTAAGGTCTGCATTCCGCTGGCGCAGGCGTCGCACCGAGACGCGATGGGACCAGCCCTGAGATCCTCGCGTTGCAATGATCTCACAACGGGCGTTTTCGCCCCGATTCGCGCCCTGGGACCCTCACAGATCGATCCGGCTCGAAAAATGACGTAGAAAGATGGGGTCCGGGCTGGTCGTGAATTTGTGCGATTTTGCATTTTTTTCACAACGTCGGATCTCAGTGGAGGGAAGGCCCCGAATCAGTTATCAAACGTGACGCGAGCCGGGTTGGGTGTCCTGGTGTGGTGGGGGTCCTCGTCGTCGAGCATGGGGACGAGCGGTTGGTGCAGGCTGCTGGGGAGTGATTTGCGGGATCCGGGCGCAGTGGCACGCCTGGCGACTCTGCCGTCGCCGATCACAACCACGGCGACACAACCCCCGGGCGGGTGGACGGCCGCCACCCCAGGGCCAGCGCGGCCGGCAGGACGAGGTCGATGTGGCGGCCCTCGTCCGTCTGAAGTCTGCGCACCTGCGACATAGACAGATCGCGAATGCCCCGCCATAGTAGGCCTGACACTTGGCAGCGATCACTACCTTGATGAACTCCACTGAGGCCCATCGTCTGGACGGTTGGCCGCGGTCGTCGCGGGGCCGTGGCATGCCCTGCACTCGTCGCACTGATACGCGGGGCGGGTGGAGCGAAAGCGGTTGTCGGTAATGAACGGCGGGCGGAGCTGGAGCCCGTCGGAAGGGCCCTTGGGGAGGAGCACGGAGTGTGGGACCCCGAAGCGGTCCGTGAACATCGAGGGATACGGGCCGCGCAACTCTTGTCGACGAGGCTGGCTTACAAGTATCAGCCCTTGGCAGGCAGCCGTGCCCGTACAGACGGGACAGCCCGCTCGAGGGCCTGGAAGCCACCAAGGTGGTAGCCCCGTCCGAGCTGCCGCTCTTCCCCGGCCTCGCCGTCGGGTGCCTGGACGCTAAGGGCGGTGCGGGTGACAGCGGGGACGCGGTAAGCGATATACTTGCAAGCCCAGAAGACTGTTTCCAGGGCCGTATGGGCGTTGATGGCGTCTTCGTCGGTCCACCCGCTGATGTGGCCACACACACACACACACACACGCACACGCACGCACGCACGCACACACACACACACACACACCCACACACACACACACACGATCCCTTTCACCCAACAACCAGGCACTGGTGGAACACAAAATGACCACGAGGCGCAGCTTCAAAGCTCTTCTGGCGCAGTGTGAATTCCGCAACAACCATCTTCGGGCAGAGCACCAACCGTTCTAGAGCACACGGCAGCAGGTAAACTTGGCAGATCATCGGTAAACGTTCGACCCTTGGCAACCACCACGGGTCTGTGAAAGGAGCGCACCGCGAGCGAGCAACGGGGTGCAGGAATCAGACTGGCTAAGCCGAGTGAGACCAGCAGGGGATAAAAGATCATGCACCAGTGGAGGAGGGCGCGCTTAGACCCTCCACTCGGAGTGGGAGGGGGAGGAGGAGGGGAGGAGGAGGAGGAGGAGGAGGAGGAGGAGGAGGAGGAGGAGGAGGAGGAGGAGCAGCAGAAGGAGGAGGAAGAGGAGGAAGCGAAGGAGGAGGGAAGGAAGAGGAGGCGAAGGGGGAGAAAGGGGGAGAATGGGATGGGGTCTCCGGGATCGGCTCACGGTGCTGTCCTCACGTGCGCCCGCCTCGCTAGAATCCCTCTCTGAGCGAAGGCCTCCTGTCCTAATCCCCTCTTCTTCCTTTGTCTCTTTAACCCCGATCGCCTCGGACAGCTCTTCCAAGCCCAGAGCAGCCGTAGTGCCTCCAGGCAACCCCAGATCGTTAAGGAAGGCCTTGGCATCGATGGACTTGAGACCTGAGCGCCCGCCCGAGGGAGAGAGGACAAAGCCCGATCTGCCCCTGGCAAGCCTGGCAAGAGAGGCAGGAGCCTTCGTGCATGCCCACGAGGATCGGAGGGCTCGGTGCAAATCAGGTGATGCAGCTTCTGTGAGTTGTCGCGACAACAACGATGCGGCCCGGGACGGATATGATGTACTGATCTAGATTCTCGAAACGCGCCGATGAACCACCCAACCCGACTGACAGAAACTGCAAGCCGAGGTCTTGTCGGACAGTGCTCTGCCGCATGTCTTCCGACGCACCCCAGGAATCCTCCTCCGACTGTCGTGCCCGTAGGAGTGTGGCACTCGCTCGGCACACAATGGCTTGACCATTCCTACGTGGATCGCCAGTCCGATCCGATCCTCCACTCCTGATCTCAAAGACAACTCCTCCTTGTCGCACCCCCTGACGCGTCGGTAGGGCGGGTCATGGGTTTCGCCTGGAACGTCCTCACCACTTAGAACCCTCAAGCTTAAAACTCGCGACAGCTACACACATGGAGGGCTTTCGACTTAACAATGAAGCTCTCGCCTTAGTGCCGCACACATTCGTCGCAAAGTTGACCACAGCTACAAAAATGGTGTACAGATCGTTGACAAACTGGAGCTCTCGCCCAAGCGCCGCGCACATTCGTCAAAAGGCAACACACCGATGGAGCGCAGGAGGTTCCCAGAATGGATCTGCCGCCTTCGCACATCGCATGCTCGTCTCTCAACAGCTGCCAGGATTAAGCACAAGTAGTTCTCAACATGAAGATCTCGCCCTAGCGCGCAACAGCTGCACGAATGGAGCCCCGGCAGTTTACAAAATGGAGCTCTCGCCCTAGCGCCGCGCACATTCGCCTTAAAATCTTGCAACAGTTGCAAGGACAGGGGGCACAAAGCTCTCAAAATGGAGTTTTCGCCTTAGCGCCGCGCGCATTCGTCTGAAAAACGCGATAACGTCGATGATGACACGAATGTCGTGCTTTAGTGCGGTTTTCGCCGTAGCGCCGCGCGCCTTCGTCCCAAAAGCTGTCAACATTTGGCAAGGTGGAGGGCGGCTCCTGATCAAGATGGGATGTTCGCCTTAGCGCCGCGCACATTCGTCTCAAATGTCCGCAACAGTTACGAAGATGGAGGACGTCTCATGTTCAAATATGGATATCGCTGAAGAGCTCCTTGAGCTGAAAGACCAGACACTTCAACACATTTAGAAATCCGCCGACCCCTTGTGGGTCTCCAGGCGTGTGAGATAGTTCCCCCCCCATACCCCCCCCCAGGGACCCGAAACCGGAGATTTGACCCCCCCCCCCCTCGCCGACTACGACCCCCCGCCGAACGCGCCAAGGGGGAGCAGAGGGCCCAAAAACGGGCCAAGAGCGCACCAAGGGGTCTCCGAGACGGTCCAAAAAGGCCTTGAGCACTCCAAGACAAGCAAAGAGACCTCCAAAACGGCCCAAGAGGCCTCCAAGATGCGCCCAAGAGAGCCCCCAGACTCAAAAATGGTCCCATTTTCTTCGTAAAACGTATATGTTCAGCCTTCTCGCCTTTTCCGCTGTCCGATGCTCAAAGTCGGCCCAGGAGGCTCCCAAAACCGCCACAAGACGGCCCAAGAGGCCTCCAAGAGGACCCCGGGACGGCGCATGAGGGCCCCAAGACGGCCCAAGGGGCGCCCAATACGGCCCAAGAGGGCCCCAAGACGTCACAAGAGGGGATCCAAACAGGCTCCAAGAAGGCTTTAGATGCCCCCCAGAGCTCCAAGAGGTCGCCGAAGAGGCTCCAAGTGGTTCCCAGGGGGCTCCCCCAGAGGCCCTGCGAGGCGCCCCAGAAGTCCAAAAGAGGCCCTACGAGGCGCCCCAGAAGTCCAAAAGAAGCCCCAACAGGGCTCCCACGAGGCCTCCGAAGAGCCACTCGTTGTCGTCGTCGCCGTCGCCGTCTCCGTTTTTTTCTCTCCGTTTTCTACTCTTCGTCCTTCTCCTCCTCTTCCTCCTCCCTTTCCTATCCCTCCTTTTTCATCCTCTGCTCCTCATCCTCATCCTCGTCCTCATCCTCCTCCTCTGCTTTCGCCTTCTTTGCGTTCCTCTTTTCATCGGCCTTCTCGGATGCTCCCTCTCGCTCGGACCCCGTTGCTCCTACTGCTACTGGCCATGGCACGGGTGCCCTACTGGTAACATGTGCTCGCATTGCCTGTCAGTGTGCCCTCTTTCTCGTCACGCGCGACATTGCTCGAGTTCACGGAGAAAGCACACTTTGGACATTTCCCCCTCTGGCACGTGCCACTGCGCTGCTTGGTTTCCTTCTCCATCTCGTCCTCTGCCTCCTCTCCTTCGCCAGCTGCTGCTCCATCTCCGGGCCACCTCGTTGCCCCAGCCCGTTGTTTCTTCAAGCGTCCCCTCGCGCCCCTCGTCATCTGAACTCGCATTGTTTCGGATGAGGGCCCCAAGACGGCCCAAGGGGCGCCCAATACGGCCCAAGAGAGCCCCAAGACATCACAAGAGGGGATCCAAACAGGCTCCAAGAAGGCTTTAGATGCCCCCCAGAGCTCCAAGAGGTCGCCGAAGAGGCTCCAAGTGGTTCCCACGGGGGCTCCCCCAGAGGCCCTGCGAGGCGCCCCAGAAGTCCAAAAGAGGCCCTGCGAGGCGCCCCAGAAGTCCAAAAGAAGCCCCAAAAGGGCTCCCACGAGGCCTCCGAAGAGCCACTCGTTGTCGTCGTCGCCGTCGCCGTCTCCGTCTTTTTCTCTCCGTTTTCTACTCTCCGCCCTTCTCCTCCTCTTCCTCCTCCCTTTCCTATCCCTCCTCTTTCATCCTCTGCTCCTCATCCTCATCCTCATCCTCATCCTCCTCCTCTGCTTTCGCCTTCTTCGCGTTCCTCTTTTCATCGGCCTTCTCGGATGCTCCCTCTCGCTCGGACCCCGTTGCTCCTACTGCTACTGGCCATGGCACAGGTGCCCTACTGGTAACATGTGCACGCATTGCCTGTCAGTGTGCCCTCTTTTGCGTCACGCGCGACATTGCTCGAGTTCACGGAGAAAGCACACTTTGGACATTTCCTCTGGCACGTGCCACTGCGCTGCTTGGTTTCCTTCTCCATCTCGTCCTCTGCCTCCTCTCCTTCGCCCGGTGCTGCTCCATCTCCGGGCCACCTCGTTGCCCCAGCCAGCTGTTTCTTCAAACGTCCCATCGCGCACCTCGTCATCTGAACTCGCACTGTTTCGGATGAGGGCCCCAAGACGGCCCAAGGGGCGCCCAATACGGCCCAAGAGAGCCCCAAGACATCACAAGAGGGGATTCAAACAGGCTCCAAGAAGGCTTTAAATGCCCCCCAGAGCTCCAAGAGGTCGCCGAAGAGGCTCCAAGTGGTTCCCAGGGGGGCTCCCCAAGAGGCCCTGCGAGGCGCCCCAGAAGTCCAAAAGAGGCCCTGCGAGGCGCCCCAAAAGTCCAAAAGAAGCCCCAAAAGGGCTCCCACGAGGCCTCCGAAGAGCCACTCGTTGTCGTCGTCGCCGTCGCCGTCTCCGTCTTTTTCTCTCCGTTTTCTACTCTCCGTCCTTCTCCTCCTCTTCCTCCTCCCTTTCCTATCCCTCCTTTTTCATCCTCTGCTCCTCATCCTCATCCTCATCCTCATCCTCCTCCTCTGCTTTCGCCTTCTTTGCATTCCTCGTTTCATCGGCCTTCTCGGATGCTCCCTTTCGCTCGGACCCCGTTGCTCCTACAGCTACTGGCCATGGCACAGGTGCCCTACTGGTAACATGTGCACGCATTGCCTGTCAGTGTGCCCTCTTTTGCGTCACGTGCGACATTGCTCGAGTTCACGGAGAAAGCACACTTTGGACATTTCCCCCTCTGGCACGTGCCACTGCGCTGCTTAGTCTCCTTCTCCATCTCGTCCTCTGCCTCCTCTCCTTCGCCCGTTGCTGCTCCATCTCCGGGCCATCTCGTTGCCCCAGCCCGCTGTTTCTTCAAACGTCCCCTCGCGCCCCTCATCATCTGAACTCGCATTGTTTCGGTTTCTGGATTGGCTTGTGGGTACAAGGTACAAGCGAAAAAGGTACTCCACCACAAACGTGCGAACGACAGCCGTTGCCTCCGGGACCCCCCTCCCTCACATTTGCCACCTCGGCGAGGAAATCCGTTGGCCACGGCCACCTTTTATCCCGAGAGCGGAAAGAAGATCCCAAAAGAACCCCGCAAGGCGGAAGTACAATCCAGCAGCCGTCTCCTATTCTCCCGGACGCGTTTTTTTACCCAGCTCCTGCCCGACACAAGCAATCGGAGGATGTCTGCATAGCCGAAGGATCCGCCGCGCGGTGGGGAGAGCACAGTGACCCGTGCCCTTACAGGAAACCCTATGCCTACAATAGCCTGCACACATCCTAGACCCGCGCGGCGAACTCGCTGCTTTGCCTGTTTCGTGAGGAAGTTGTCCATGTGCCCACGAGGCGCCCTTCGAAACAAGGGATCCTTCGAAACAAGGGGTCGGCGGATGTGGCGAAATCGTGAAGAATCTCACGGATGCAGGGAGGATAATCCCACCAGCCCTGTGGGCGTGAGTGGTTTAGGGAGCTCTCTCTGTTCTCAACCCCCCTTTTTCCCCTTCGGGGAGGGGTTAACCCCTCCCCCTACCCCCTCCCCCTGGGCCTGGAGAGGTCCTTTCGCGGGTGGCCGGAGGGGTCTTTTTCGACTCCTGGGAGTGCTAAAAAACGACACCCCTCACGAGGCTTCTGGCCCCGACGGGGGGAGGCAGAAAAAAGCCTCTCCTCTTCTTTGAAGCCAAAATCATTGATTGTACTACGGTTTTGGCCCCATTTTGGCCTTCTGAGGGGGCAGCGCTCCTTTAAGCTCCCCTCTTCTTTCAAGGCAAAATCATTGATTTTACGAAGGTTTTGGCCTCATTTTGCCCTTCTGAGGGGGCAGCGCTCATTAAAGCTCCCCTCTTCTGTGATCGATTCCCTCCAAGATGGCCCCAAGAAGCGCCCAGGAGGCACCAAGAGGCCCCAAGATGGCCCCAAGAGGCCCCCAGGAGGCCCCAAAGAGGCCTCCAAGAGGCCCCCAAGATGCTCCCAAGAGGTCCCCAAGAGGCCCCAAGAGGCTCCCCCGAGGCACCCAAGACGCTCCTGGAAGCCCCTGGGGCCGCCAAGAGGCCCCCAAACGCCCCAAACGGCCTCCAAGAGGCTCCCAAGAGGCCCGAAGAGGCTCCCCCAAGGCACCCAAGACGCTCCTAGAAGCCCCTGGGGCCGCCAAGAGGCCCCCAAGACGCCCCAAAAGGGGACGAGGTGCCCGAACGCCTCACGCCACGAGGAGCCCGAACGACTCACACCAGGACGAGGGGCCCGAACGACTCACACCACGAAGAGCCCGAACGACTCACACCAGAAGGAGGGGCCCGAACGACTCACACCAGGACGAGGCGCCCGAACGACTCACACCACGAGGAGCCCGAACGACTCACACCACGACGAGGGCCCCGAACGACTCACACCACGAGGAGCCCGAACGAGTCACACCAGGAGGAGGGGCCCGAACGACTCACACCAGGACGAGGGGCCCGAACAACTCACACCACGAGAAGCCCGAACGACTCACACCAGGACGAAGAGCCCGAACGACTCACACCACGAAGAGCCCGAACGACTCACACCAGGAAGAAGGGCCCGAACGACTCACACCAGGACGAGAAACCCCAAACGACTCAAACCACGAGGAGCGCTTTCTCTCCCTCCTCCTCCGCCTCGTCCTTCTCCCGCTCCCACCACAAGGAGGATGTACAAGGAGGCGGGAGGAAGGAGGAACAGGTGAGATATGCGGGGGCAGGCGGAAACACGCCTGAAAAACACGACTGTCGGCATGCTTCGCAAGAGTTGCTGCTTTGAGATGGGCTGGTGGGGATACGCGAAGCGTGAAGAATTTTCACATGCTTTCTCCCTCGACTCCGAAAGAGCCGACAGCTACGGATAGCCAGCCCTTCTGATGCTACACCTCCCCGCTCTCCTGCCTTCCTGCGCATCGGGGGCAAGTGTGAACAAGCGGGGGAAGACCCCGAATCCTTCAAAATGAGGCTCTCGCTTGAGACTTCCTCGAAACTCATGACCAGAAAACTAAACCTGGACAACCGTTACACGGGTAAGGGACGGTCCTTTTTCCAAAGCGGCGATCCCGCTGGACACCTCATTTAACTGTATGATCATCGCTGAGGTATCTTGGGTTCACCCTGGCCCTCATCATCATCATCATTCTTCTCGTCCTCCTCCTCATCATCATCCTCACCCTCACCCTCATCCCCTCATCCTCCTCATCCTCCTCTTCCTTATCATACTCTTCCTCCTCCTCCCTCCTCCTCGTCCTCATCCTCCTCATCCTCATCCTCCTCCTCATCCTTCGCTTCCTCCTCCTCTCCTCCTCCCTGGCCCCATGGGGCAACCGCTCACTGTTGCTTCATGTCAACAAGCCCGCCGACTCGCAGACCCGCAGACACCCTGTCTAATTACAGGGACCATCTACCCTCAAGGCATCCGCCAGTAACCTCCTCCTCCTCCTCCTCATCCTCCTCCTCATCCTCCTCCTCCTGGAGCTTGGGCGCTGGCCCCCTCGCAGCTCCTCCAGCGCCTCCGCGGGGTCCACCTCCATCGCGAATAGGTTATCGGCCACCTGCCGAGGGCAAGCAAGCCGTCCGGCCGACGCGAAGGCATCGCTTTCATAAGGCGCCGTGTGCCGAGAAGCGCAGCAGCTGCGTCGGAGTGGGCACGCCCCCGCCATCACGCCACAAGAGAGCCGTCGCCGGCCGACGCGAAGGCATCGCTTTCATAAGGCGCCGTGTGCCGAGAAGCGCAGCAGCTGCGTCGGAGTGGGCACGCCCCCGCCATCACGCCACAAGAGAGCCGTCGCATGCTGAGCCACCCTACTCCTCCTCATGTGCATCCTCCGCCGATACCCCTCCCCCTCCTCCTCCTCCTCCTCCTCCTTCTCCTCCTCCTCAATCTCCTCCTCCTCCTCCTCCTCCTCCTCCTCCTCCTCCTCATCATCATCATCATCATCATCATCATCATCATCATCATCCTCATCATCCTCCTCATCCTCATCCTCATCCTCATCATCATCATCATCATCATCATCATCATCATCATCATCATCATCATCATCATCATCATCATCATCATCATCATCATCATCATCATCATCATCATCATCATCATCATCATCATCTTCATCATCATCATCATCATCATCATCATCCTGCGTGTCCCTCGTCCTCCACCTCCTCCTCCTCCACCTTCTTCTTCTCCTCCTCCTCCTCCTCCTCCTCCTCATCATCATCATCATCGTCATCATCATCATCATCATCATCATCATCATCATCATCATCATCATCACCGTCACCATCACCATCACCATCACCACCACCACGACCACCATCATCATCATCATCATCATCATAATCGTCGTCATCGTCATCATCATCGTCATCATCATCATCATCATCAGTATCATCATCATCATCATCATCATCATCATCATCATCATCATCACCATCAGCATCATCATCAGGATCATCAGCATCGTCATCGTTATTGTCATCATCCCCATCATCATAACCAACAGCAACAACAACGGTATCATCAGTAGCATCATCAGCATCATCATCATCGTCATTATACTAAGCATCATCATCAATATCAACATCGTCATCATCATCGGCATCGTCAGCATCATCCTCATTATCATCATCACTATCATCATACAAAACATCATCATCACAATCATCAGCAGCAGCAGCATCATCATATTCATCATCATCATAATCAGCATCCTCGTCATCATTAGCATCATCAGCATCAGCAGCATCATCATCAGCATCATGATCACCATCATCATCACCATCATCAGCATCATCGGCATCGGCATCGTCATCGTCATCCGCATCAGCGTCATCGTCATCATCAGCATCATCAGCATCATCATCATCACAATCAGCATCGTCATAATCATCATCAGCATCATCGTCGTCATCGTCCTCATTATCGTCATCGTCATCGGCATCGTCATAGTCGTCGTTGTCATCGCCATCACCATCGCCGTCAGCATCATCATCAGCATCGGCATCATCATCTTCATCATCATCGTCGTCATCATCATCACCATCGTGATCAGCATCAGCAACAGTATCAGCATCACCACCACAACCACCATCATCATCATTGCCATCACCATCACCATCATCATCAGCAGCAGCAGCATCATCAGCATCGCCAGCATCTTCATCATCCGCAGAATCATCACCATCAGCATCATCGTTACCGTCAGCATCATCAGCATCCTCATCAGCAGCATCGTCATCAGCAATATCATCAGCATCATCATCGTTAGCAGAATCAGCATCATCATCGAAGTCGTCGTCATCCATCATCATCGCCGTCGTCGTCATCATCATCATCAGCAGCAGCAGCATCAGCAGTATCATCATCATCTTCATCATCATCATCATCATCATCATCATCACCATCATCATCACCATCATCACCATCATCATCATCACCACCACCATCATCATCTAGCCCTCTGAGCGAAAGCGACGCCCCCTGAGCGAAAACGACGCCGGCGCCGACCCCCCCGAGCGCCCGTTGGACTGGGGGCCTGAGGTGCCGGATCCGCGAGCGGGGGAACGGCGGGGTGGGGGGGCGGGGGGGCGACCCCCAAGGCGCGGCTGGGAGGCGGATCCGCCGCCAGCCCAGGGGGCTGCAGGACCCCAAGCGAGAAGGAAGCAGGGGGCGGGAGGAGGGGCCCGAGAAGGCCCGCTCGCGCCGGGGCCCTCGGCGCCCCCCTCTCCCGCCGAGTCCTCCTCGTGGCCCCGCCGCCCCTCGCCACCCCGTCGTCCTCTGCGTGGCCTCCGCCTCCTCGTGGCCTCCTCGTGGCCTCCTCTGCCGCCCCCATCGCTCTCCTCGTGGCCTCTGGCGCCTTCCCCTGCCGCCCCCCTCGCTGCCTTCTCTGCTGCCTTCGCTGCTGCCTCCTCGTCCTGGCACTCTGCCCGCCTCCCAGCCGCGGGCCGTCGCCTCCTCTCCCGCCCTCTCTCGGCAACCCGCGTCCGCGCGGCTGGCTGGCCCGCACCCCCGCTGGCATCCTCGCCATCCTCTTCACTCATCACCTTCACCGTCACCATCACCATCACCATCATCAGCATCCTCCTTGTCCTCATCCTCGTGATCGTCACCGTCGTCGTCCTCGTCATCGTGGTCGTCCTCCTTTTCCTCCTCATCCTCCCTCTCCTCCTCCTGCTCGTCGTCGTCGTCGACGTCGTCGGCGTCGTCGTCGCCGTCGTCCTCGTCGTCCTCGTCATCCTCATCGTCTTCGTCGAGCTTCCGCCGTGCCAGGCGAAGCGGTTGGTGAACACTTATGCGGGTACAAGAACTCCGTCTAGAGGCTGGCAGCCCCAGAGCTCGACGAGCACGCTGCGCACACTGTTACCAGCGCGGATGTCTACTTGGGCGCCTCCCGCGTTCAACGCCAACGTAAAAATTGCTCTAAAACTTAGCCTACGTGCACGCCCAAGACACAGGGACGGCGAAAGTAGAATAGGTCACGACGTACCTGTCGCGGCTTTGCTGCGCCCCATGGGTGGCCCAGCTGAGTAGGGTGGCGCGGGGATCCGAGCTGGATCTCGCCCTCCTTTGGTTTGCTGTGCCCCTGGGGAGTCCAACGGAGGGGGTGACGCGAGGACCCAAGCTGGACCTCGCCCTCCTTCGGTGATGCCAGACGAGCAACTGTCCCTACGCTGCTGCATCCAAACACGGCCTAGCTTAGGCCAATGTCGAGCAGCGCCTGAGAGAAGGGGAAGGAGGAAGTGACGAAGAACGAGGGAGCGAGGATGAAGACGCGAAACAGATGAACGGAAAAAGGAACAAGAAAGGAGGTGGAGAGAGGAGGCAGGTGGAGGCGGAGGGAGCAGGAGGAGACAAGGGTGGAATAGTAGTAATAGTAATAGAAAGAATAGTAGTAGTAGTAGTAGTAGTAGTAGTAGTAGTAGTAGTAGTAGTAGTAGTAGTAGTAGTAGTAGTAGTAGTAGTAGTAGTAGTAGTAGTAGTAGTAGTAGTAGTAGTAGTAGTAGTAGTAGTAGTAGTAGTAGTAGTAGTAGTAGTAGTAGTAGTAGTAGTAGTAGTAGTAGTAGTAGTAGTAGTAGTAGTAGTAGTAGTAGTAGTAGTAGTAGTAGTAGTAGTAGTAGTAGTAGTAGTAGTAGTAGTAGTAGTAGTAGTAGTAGTAGTAGTAGTAGTAGTAGTAGTCGTAGTAGTAGTAGTAGTAGTAGTAGTAGTAGTCGTCGTAGTCGTCGTAGTCGTAGTCGTAGTCGTAGTCGTAGTAGTCGTACGTAGTCGTAGTAGTCGTCGTAGTCGTCGTAGTCGTCGTAGTAGTAGTAGTAGGAGTAGTAGTAGTAGTAGTCGTAGTAGTAGTAGTAGTAGTAGTAGTAGCAATGCTAGTAGTAGTAGTAGTAGCAGTAGTTGCAGTAGTAGTAGTAGTAGTCGTAGTAGTAGTAGTAGTAGCAGTGCTAGTAGTCGTAGTAGTAGTAGTAGTAGTAGTAGTCGGAGCAGTAGGAGTAGTAGTAGTAGTAGTAGTAGTAGTAGTAGCAGTAGTAGTAGTAGAAAAGAGTAATAGTATTAGTAATGTACTAGTAGTAGTAGTAGTAGTACGACTACTACTACTACTAGTAGTAATAAAATAAGAATAGAAACAGTAGTAGTAGTAGAAAAAAAAGTAATAGTAGTAGCAGGAGTAGTAGTAGTAGTAGTAGCAGCAGTAGTAGTAGTAGTGGTAGTAGCAGTAGTAGTAGTAGTAGAAGTAAAAGTAAAAGTAACAGTAGTAGTATTAGCAGTAGTAGTAGTAGTAGTAGTAGTAGTGCGAGTAGTGGTAGTAGTAGTAGTAGTAGTAGTAGTAGCAGTAGTAGTAGTAGTAGTAAGGGTAGTACTAGTACTAGTACTAGTAGTAGCAGTAGTACTAGTACTAGTATTAGTACTAGTAGTAGTGTTTGTAATGGCAGCAGCAGCAGCAGCAGCAGCAGTAGCAGTAGCAGTAGCAGTAGCAGCAATAATAATACAAGGCGAATACAATAGCAAGAATACGTACGTAGTAGCACCCCGCAGATGCGGATAAAAGTGAGGGGGCGGAGGGGACGTCAGGAGTTTGCAAGACTTTGGAGAAGCCCGCCGCAAGCGCCAAAGTTTCACAAATTCTACAACGAGCCCGCCGCAGGCGCCGATGTTCCGTTAAACCAGTGTGGGTAGGTCGCGGGTGGGTCGCAAATGGGTCGAGGGTGGGTCGCGGGTGGGTCGCGGGTGGGTCGCTGTTGGGTCGCGGGTGGGCCGCGGGTGTAGAGGGCAGAAAATCCATCCCATAATAATCACCCCGACAAGCGAAGCCGTTTAGTAAACGCACACAATGAATGAATCGAACAGGGCAATGCTCCTTAATCAACGCCCAGGGCCGTGTAATAAACATCAATTGTCGGGTCTGGGTGGTTTTTCCTCCCTTGAGGGTGGGTCGCGGGGTGGGTCGCGGGTGGGTCGCTGGGTGGGTCGCGGGTGGGTCGCGGGTGGGTCGCGGGGTGGGTCGCGGGGTGGATCGCGGGGTGCGGGGTGGGTCGCGGGTGGGACGACGACAACAGACGACAACAAACAACAACAACAACAACAACAACAACAACAACAACAACAACAACAACAACAACAACAACAACAACAACAGCAGCAGCAGCAGCAACAGCAGCAGCAGCAGCAGCGACAACAACAACAACAATCACAACAACAACAACAATAATCATTTTAAGACTGTTCGCTCTTACTGGCACGCGTGTCTTGCATTCCGTATACCCCAACCCTCGATACCCGCCCACTTCGTCTTCGATTGCACCTCCTTTCGGGGGGAATCTCTTCCTTGTCGGCCACTGACTGAAGTGCGAAGAACTTTCGAGCAAGAGCGCCGTTCCTGAATTCGGGGGCCTCTCTGGCCAGGGGCTCTCGGAATACGATGGAGAAATCTCGAACGGGAGCCCTTGTCGCCGTGTCCGGGCCTCCACTGCCTGAATTACGGGAAAGTCTCGAGCGAGAGCGCCGTTCCTGAGTTCGGGGGCCGTCTTGGCTAGGGGCTCTCGGAGTAAATCGTGAGGAAGTATCGAGGAGGAGCCCTTGTCGTCGTGGCTGGGCCTCCGCCAACTGAATTGAATTGCGAGGAAGTCTCGAGTGAGAGCGCCGTTCCTGAGTTCGGGGGCCTCTCTGGCCAAGGTGTCTCGGGGTAAATTGTGAGGAAGTGTCGAGCGGGAGCCGTTGTTGTCGTAGCTGGGCCCCCAGGGCCACTTTTAGGTTCAAGCCAACGCTCGAGCGGGAGCCTCGCTTTGAAGAAAATAGCCGGCGTCGAGGCGAGAGCGCGCGGAACCGTTTCAGGAGATCAACAATAATGATTATTTAAAAATGATTGTTTAACAACAAAAAACAACAACTACAACAACAACAACAACAACAACAACAGCAACAACAACAACAACAACAACAACAACAACAACAACCAACAACAACAACAACAACAACAACAACAACAACAACAACAACAACAACAACAACAACAACAACAACAACAACAACAACAACAACAACAACAACAACAATAGCAACAACGACAACGACAACGACAACGACAACGACAACGACAACGACAACAACAACAACAACAACAACAACAACAATAGCAGCCAACAACAACAACAACAACAACAACAACAACAACAACAGCAATAACAACAACAACAACAGCAACAGCAGCAGCAACAACAACAATTACAACAACAACAATTACAACAACAACAGTAAGACAATAACACACTCTGATTAGCAATAGCAATGGTAATAGTGATAGTAATAGCGATAGGAATATTACTAGTGATAGTGCTAGAAATAGCTATGGTAATACGTAGCACCCCGCAAATGTGGATAAGGGTGAGGGGACGGTGGGGACGTCAGCAATTTGCGAAACTTTGGAGAAGCCCGCCGCAGGCGCCAAAGTTTCACAAATATACAACGAGCCCGCCGCAGGCGCCGATTGTTCCCTTAAACCAATGTGGGTAGGTCGCGGGTGGGTCGCAAATGGTCGCGGGTGGGTCGCGGGTGGGTCGCTGTTGGGTCGCGGGTGTGCCGCGAAGCCGTCTAGTAAACGCACACAAGGAATGAATCGAACAGGGCAGGGCTGTTTAGTCAACGCCCAGGGCCGTTTAGCAAACGTCAATTGTCGGGTCTGGGTGTTTTTCCTCCCTTGATGGTGGGTCGCGGGGTGGGTCGCGGGTGGGTCGCAGGTTGGATCGCGGGTGGGTCGCGGATGGGTCACGGATGGGTCGCGGGGTGGGTCGCGGGTGGGTCGCGGGTGGGTCGCGGGTGGGTCGCGGGTGGGTCGCGGGTGGGTCGCAGGGTGGGTCGCGGGTGGGACGACGAACAAACAACAACAACAACAACAACAACAACAACAAGTCATGTTACCCTCATGCGCGATGCTTCCACATGCAGCATGCGACCATCATGATAACCATCCCCATCATGGGGGATTATTGTTCTATCGCGGGGGTCCGTTATTCCCATTCCCAGATCTTCCGCCCAATGAGGTATTGCGAAAACCTTCTCCGAGGAATTTCAACATTTCCTGCCTCGAAAACACATGCCCGCGCCTTGCTGCGCCGATGCGAGACCGCCAGTGGAGCACCAGCCAAGGGTAAAGCACAAGGAAGTATCGAGCGATAGGATGAGCTTGGTGGGGATGGGGGCTGTCGGCGGCGAGGCAAGGACCTGGCCCTGAATAGACAGGGAGGAAGTCTCGAGAAGGGGTGCTGTTGTTGCTGAGAGCGGCGCCAATGCAGAAGAGAGTAGGGCGCTAGTCCAGCGTGAAACAAGACGAAGTCTCGAACGGGAGCGCTGGTTCTGTTGGGACGGCGGTTGTCGGCGGCGAGGAGGAACACCGCCTTGAGTAAGAAGAGAAGAAGTCTCGAGCGGGAGCCGCGGTTTTGCCGGGACGGGGGCTGTCGGCGGCGAGGAACAGCACCGCCTTCAGGAAAAAGGGAGAAAGTCTCGGGCGGGAGGGTTGCTCTTGCTGGGGGCGGCGCCAACTCAAAAAAGAGTTGGGCGCCTGTCCAGCGTAAAACGGGAGGAAGTCTCGGGCGGGAGCGCTGGTTTTGTTGGGGCGGCGGTTTTCGGCGGCGAGCAAAAGCACCGGCTCTGAGTAAAAAAAGGAAGTCTCGAGCGGGAGCGTTGTTCTTGCTGGGGGCGGCGCCGATGAGAGAAAGAGTAGCGCGCCAGTCCAAGGTAAAACGGGAAGAAGTCTCGAGCGGGAGCGTTGGTTTTGTTGGGCCGGCGGTTTTCGGCGGCGAGCAAGAGCACCAGCTGCGGGTAAGAAAAAAGGAATTCTCGAACGGGAGCGTTGTTGTTGTTGGGGGGCCGGTTTTGGCGCCCCCCCGAACCTCTCGAGCGTGAGCCTCATTTTCAATGAGAATGTAGCCGGCGCCGTGGCGAGAGCGCCAGGGCGCCTGGGAGGTGTCCAACAACAATCATTATAAACATTCAACAACAACGCAACAAGCAGAATTCTCAACACGAATTCCTTATTCAGCCACGCACGCAGGGACAATGAATGACAGCTCGGCCCCCTTACTCTGATTAGCACTAGTAATCGTAGTAATGGTAAGCGAAATCCCAAGAATGATAAGAATGAGCGTGAGTAAAATGAGAATAAGCGAAATGATAATGACAATAAAAGAAAGCAATGATGATAGAAATAATAACAATAATGATAACAAGTCTGCGAACAATACGGGTACAAATACGAGTAATAATAATGACAAGAATAATAATCGCAATGCCAATGTTAATAGCACTAGACATTGCAATAAACATAGCACTGGTAACAATAGTAAGAGTAGTAGCAGTAGTACTACTACTACTACTACTACTACTACTACGACTACTACTACTACTACTACTACTACTACTACTACTAGCACTAGCACTAGGAATAGGAATAAGAATATTGATAGAAGTGGTACTAGTAGTAGTAGTAGTAGAAGTAGTAGTGGTAGTAGTAGTAGTAGTAGTAGGAGGAGGAGGAGGAGTAGTAGTAGTAGAAGTAGTAGTAGTAGTAGTAGTAGTAGTAGTAGTAGTGGTAGTAGTAGTAGTAATAGTAGCAGTAATAGTGGTGGTAGTAGTAGTAGTAGAAGAAGAAGAAGAAGAAGTAGTAGTAGTAGTAATAGTAGTAGTAGTAGTAGTACTAGTAGTACTAGTAGTAGTAGTAGTAGTAGTAGTAGTAATAGTAGTAGTAGTAGTAGTAGTAGTAGTAGTGGTGGTAGTAGTAGTAGTAGTAGTAGTAGTAGCAGTGATAGTAGTAGTAGTAGTAGTAGTAGTAGTAGTAGTAGTAATAGTAGTAGTGAAACTACACATACAAATAATTATAATTTGAGCACGAACTATCTTACGGATAACAAATGGTGCGAAAAACCAAACATATTATGAATAATATGGATAATAATTCTATGGATAAACTACTAAATAGCAATGCTAATGACAGTATTAGCGATGCAAACAGTAATGGTGATAGTACGAGTACCAACAATGATAACACTAGCAATAGAGCCGGCCCGCCTCGCGAGGCTTGCCCGACAGGCCTTCGCACAGCGCGTCGCCCAGCGAATGCGCCGGGTCGGTGGAGATGATGAGCACCCTGAAGAAGGGCAGGGTAATTTGGAAAGCCGCCAATTGTCCGGTTCGGGTGGATTTCCTCCTTTGGACGATACATACATACATGCATACATACATACATGCATGCATGCATGCATGCATACCTACATACATCACCGCATACTTACATACGTATATATATTCCTGCATGCATGCATGCATGCATACACACATGCATGCGTGTATGCATGAAAACGGACATACAGACAAACGCATTTGCATACACACACACACACACACATACTTCCCCCCTCCCCTCCTCAGGATACGACTGGTCACGAGCGTGGCGTCTCCACCATACGTAAGCAAGAAAACTGCAAAAGCACACAGTGTTGGATTGCCGCGCGCGGAGCGCACCAGGGGCGGCGCCAGAGGTGCCGCCAGGTGGTCCCACGGCGGATCCAGGAAATCCGCACGGAGCTCCGAAAGTTTATGTATACATGTCCCCCGAGCTCTCAGGTCCGCTGCTGCGAGTGTGGCGGCGACTCCCCCGACCTCTCCAAGGATGCGTTCTGACCGCATTGTCGAAACGAATCCAGCCGTGGCGACCAGGGCATCCCAGGAGGCCCAGCATGGCGAAAAAGAAGAGAGGGAGAGGCTAATGGTATCCGAACCTCCTCCTCCTCCTCCTCTCCTCTTTATCCTCCTCCTCCTCTTCCTCCTCCTCCTCTTCCTCCTCCTCCTCATCCTCATCCTCCTCCTCCTCCTCCTCCTCCTCTTCCTCCTCCTCCTCCTCCTCCTCATCCTCCTCCTCCCCCCCACTCCTCCTCATCCTCGTCCTCCTCCTCCCCACATCTGCCAGCACTCAAGGGGCTACGTAGCCCGAGTTCCCTGGTCCGCTGCCGAGGGGCACACTGTACATGTCTATGTTTCTTGCCGGCGGCCACTTGGGTCCAAGCAGCGGTGAGGCGACGGTGAGGCGCAGCGAAGCACATTACAGCGCGGACTGGAGAGGGAAGACAGAGGGGACGAAAGCGGAGAGAGGGGAGAGAAAGCGCGCGGCGGGCGGGCCCTCAGGACGTGAAGTTTTTCGGGATGCGCAAGGGAGGTCGTACACTGCACATACAAACGCGCGCGGACTCAACCCGCCAGCAACTCTTCGGAGGGCGGCCGCGTCCTCCTGCTACTTATATATGTTGTATTAAATGCCTTATTGTTATCAGTATCCGTACTATGTTTCTTATTAGTAGCATCCGTATTCTTAGTATGAGTATTGTTTGTATGAGTAGCAGTAGTATTATTCGTCTTAGTTTGATTCGTGTTCGTCTGATTAGTGTTATTATACTTATTATTCGTGATATTAATATGTGTGGTCTTCTTAGTCGTGATAGTAGTATGGTTCTTATTCATCGTATAGTATCCGTAGTAGTAGTGTTCGTCTTATTGTTGTTATTCGTATTAGTAGTAGTATTAGTCTTTGTAGTAGCAGTATCATTACTATGACTAGTGAGATTAGTAGTATTGTTAGTAGCATTATTATGAAT